TGCCTTACAGGTCTTTGTGGTGTGCTTGGATGGCAATTGCAATACTCCAGATGTGACTTCTGGGAAATCTCTTGCCACTGCTAGAGATGAGAGTGCCAAGGCAGACAGCCACTTTGGCTGTGAGGTGCTTCTGAACCCTGTATTTGCTACTAGTGATAAAAATAGAAAGTTTTTGCTGCTCTAGGCACAGGGAATGCCTGAGAATCTTGAAGTTTCATGATATGGGGATCTGCTATGAAGGTTAAAAAAAATTTGAATTAAAGCAAACTAAACCCTAAAGTTGGAGAAAAGGTTGATGCATGCATCTTCTGGAGTTATATTTGCATGTTTTCACCAGTGAAGACTGTAAGGTAGCAAGGCAGATCTGTAGCATTTTACTAGCCTTTTCACAGTCGATAACTGGGCAGAGTGTTAGTTCCATTTGGTATCTGGATGGTAACTTGGTATACTGTGGATGATGCTGAAAAAATTGCCATCTTGCTCTGGAAATTGGTTGTGTGAAGTATATAAAAAATCTCATCTATTTCTGCAGTATGAAAAATAAGGAAGAGTGATGGAAAATGACACTGAACCTAGAGCTGTGTGAGAATTGCTCAGATGCCAACCCAGCCATGTGGTAATGCTGTTGCGCTTATGAACACAACGGTTATTACCTCTTCAGGCAGTGATCTGCAAGTCCTTTACCATGCTGTACCCTCACAGCGCATGTAATTTGTAGGTATTATTAGATTCGTTTCACAAGTGGGTGAACTGAGGCATAGAAGTGTTAAGAACGTATAGTTAAGCTCATAAATTTCATACTGTAAGTAGGCTTGTTAGCAAGAAGGCATGTGACTTGTGCGGGGCTGCTACTCATTCCCTGCTCTGGGAATGAGTGCATGACTCGTTTGCTGCTTTTGAAGTAGTTCTTTGGTTCCAACACACTCACAAGCTTCACTGAAAATTGACTCTGAGTTGCACAGAACTTGAAAGGTGCAGGTGCTTTTCCTGATCCGACGTTCCCTTTGGGTCAGGCACTGCCACTAACTTTGAGGGGCTTTGACTTCAGGGAGCTTTGGATCAGGTCCTCAGTGAGGTGTGTGTTTTGCAGCGGGACCAAAAGTCAGTATGTACATCACAGCGTGGCAGGTCTTTAAACGCAAGGCCAAATCAAGGGCACAAACATCCCTTTCATTGTGTCTTCCTTTATGGTGTCAAACCCAGCTCTTGATCTCTAATTTTATTTTAGTTGAAATCATATGTGAGTGAAAAATATTGATCATCTTTGCTGTCTTTTCCCAGCTGCAGTGTTTGGCAGGTCTAAATCATAACTAAGCCAATATTTGCATGGCAAAATTCTCCCTCCTTTTTCTCACTAGTGGTAAATTCCCAACCATTGCTTCCATTAAAGGTCCATGTGCAGGAAGAAAAAAACCCAATCGCTCTGCCCTTCTCGTTTCTCTTTTCTTTCCATTTTTTGTTAGATTTTCAGATGATTACTCCAAAAATGCATGTGCTCAGATACTCCTTAGAAGGATACTGTTCATATACACTTAGCAAACAGGCTCAGCTTCCTGTAGGAGCTAGTCCTTTAACACTTGTGTCTTGTATCTTTAGTCTTATTAACTCACTAACTGGAAAAAGAAAGATAAATGCAGCATCAGACCATGGATCATGCCCGTAATGAAGCGTTAGGCATATATTTTCCATGGCAGCCTGCAGAGAGTCATCTGAGTCTCTAAGGATGTTTCATGTTGTCTTCATAATGGATTCTGTCTTTGTTCAGTTTTCTGACTGTCCTAAAATTTTTATTTGGAGAAAGGGTTCACATTATACTATCCCTTAAGCCATGTTGTGAAGAATTCCTGCCCCATGGGATGCCTCAAGCCTCAACTTTTGCGTCCTTTGGTGACGGAGGTTGCTGCCACAAAAGACTGTCTAGGAGACAGGGACCTTGAGAAAAAAAATCTGGCATCAGCAACTATGTTGTGACCTTTTCATCGTTGGCATGCCTGGCTGTTGCTCTGCTTTGTTAGTCTGAATGTTTTCCAAAGGGGGAATCTGGAAGGTGGGAGCAACAGCATGAGGATTATTCCTAAATGTTGTAGCCTAGGTTGGGATTGATGCAAAGAAAGTGAAGAGGAACCCATGAGAGGCAATTGCTGAAAGTGTAAGAGATCTGTAAGTGAAATTTCAGGGGAAAAATCTGTGAAATTTGGGGAAAAAAACTGATCTGAAAGGAAGAAAGAAACCTCAAAAAAGAAATAGCTAGTAATCTTAACTCTAAAAAACAAATTACTTCAAATTAAGCAAGTATTTTTGCCATGATCAACACTTTTACAACATAATTTGCAACAAAAGTGATTTTGAAACAAAAACCCAAAAGCCTCCGATTTTCAATTTTCCAGGTCTTGTTTTTAGACAAAAATGTAGTTTCTACAGGGTACAACTTGAGAAAGCTGACTTATGGCACCAGTAACCAAGTGGCATATGTTTTTCAGGTGGTTATTCCCCAGTGTCTTCCTATCCCTCCTCTTCATGTCTATAGAAGGCTCAGGGATTCCTTCCAGGCCTTTTTAAAATTCAAATGTTTTTCAGAATCATGGACTAACAGATGGAAAAGAGTTGTTGTCATCAGCTAGCCAAAGTAAACATAGTTGCAAAGAGTTTTCAGCAATAACTATGCGTAATTATGCAATTCAATCATCTTTCAGTTGAACTTTGGGGGATTGCATAAATCTATGGATGTACCTGACCAGTCTTCCTGTGCTCCTGTTGGGTGCTGCAGTTCATCTTGGTAACTTGGTACAGAGCTTCACCTACGTGAAGAATATGAGGCTTTGGAAGAAATAAAAGATACTATTTGCACCTGCGGGCACCTGCAGAAGAGCTGATCTGCCTCTGCTCTGCTGGCTCACTGGTGGGAGCTGTGAGGTGTCGATGCCTCCGGGCATCTGAAAGTGCTTTTTGTCTCAAGGCGAGCGATGGCCTGTAACACTGATGACAGGAGGCAGCAGGACAGGCTTTAGGTGGTCTTGTTCCCAGGATCAAGCAGCTTCAGAGCTGGTTTCATAGAGTGTCATGGGCACAGAGGAGGGATTTCTCCTTGCACTGAACCAATTTTCATTGACCCAACAATGCCGGGCATTTCCTCACCATTCTGTGAAAGTCCTGCATACATTGTCTTTAAGTTTTCAAATTCCAGATTTCTGGAGCTGAATGGGGGAGCAAATATCACATGGAGCTGAGAAAGATGTGAAATAAAATTTCCCCAAAGTTAGCTAGAAAATCTGCAGACTTACTCTGGGTTATGCTTTAGCCTACCAGTTACTGTGCTCTTGCTGCCTGCTTGGTAATTTGTTGGGAACAGGGAAGAAGAATCCAGACTTGGCAAGCTGGTGCTGCAGACAGATTTTGTCGGATCAAATCCCAATAGACATTAGTCCAACATCAATAGCTCCTGAGCTATCGCATGGGAATGTGCAAGGAGATAAAACCAACATCCTAAAGGGTGGATCCTCTGTTTTAAGGGGCGGAGAAGGGAATCTGGATAATGTGATTTTTTCCCAAACACATACAATTCTGTCTTTTCTTGAATTCTTCACTTCATTTAAAGTTGCTTGACTCCTCTTTCTTGCCTTTTCCTAGATGTGAAGAGAGGTTAATCCTATCTGCCTTTACCTCAGAGGGGTTGTGAGGGCAGAGTCTGGAAAATAATTTGCCATCTATGCAAAGAATCCACAAGTGACTGCAGGGGAAATAAACTCCAGACCTACCGTTGGGAAACTCCAGCACCAGTCAACCACTTTCTGGAAGTGGAGTGTTCTGTTACATAAACATCCTTGAAGCTTTGCAGAAGGGGTGACAGTCACATGTGGGGCCTGACTAATTGGGCTTTGTGTGTGAAGAACGGGGATGGAGAGGATAAGGAAGTGAAATCCCCAAGGTGCAAGCTGGGCCTCCTTCTTCCCATGGCCTGTACTGTTGCTTACGTGTGGAAAAGGGGTCTCAGAGCCTCGTGTACCACTGAGCTGATGACTGGGAACTCTGCGGACCCCACGACCCAGCCTGCATCCTAACTCTGCCCTCCCCAGCGGTCTGGGAGGCATCCTGCTCAGCCCAGCAGCCAGCTGCAACAGCCTCCAGCAGTCACTCACAGAGCATCCCTCTGCCCAGAAGTTGTTAATGTCCCTTCATACTGAAATCTGGATTAACTCAGTGGTGCTGGTCTATCTATGTATAAACAGCGCACAGACCATGTAGCTCCTGGCTGCTTCTACAAGCAGTGGGAGAAGGAGGCTGCTAACTTCAAGAGCTCCGAGCTGGTCCCTGATAGAGTCTGCATCCTTCCACTGATTTATGTGGGGAACCAAAATCCCATAGTTGCTGCTTTGATGGCTGAAGTTAGGTGGCACCAGCATCTCTCCATCCAAAACTCACTTGAGACCCGGGGCCAAATCTCCAAAACCCCACACCTTGTGGCAAAGTGGAGCTGCAGCATGAGTTGAAAGTCACACTTTGTTTTGCACATGCTTTGTAAAGCGTTGTTACTAGTCCCAGGCAAAGAAAATAACCCGTTTCCTCCCCTATCTCTTCAGGGAAAACTACATATAGCAGGCATGTAAATAACTTGGTAGTATCTGCTATAAAATTCACATGTATATTTTTCTGTATTTTATGACAAACACACGATAATGGTCTGCAGGTTTTCCGTTCTGCGTAGCATCTCTCAGGGTAACAGGTCAGATTTCGCGATTGGGATGGCAGTGAAAGGAACAGATTCACAAGCCGAAGGAAGCCGGTGCTGAACTGGCTAGGGAATTTTAATCTGAATTCCCAGCTCTTCTTTTCACAGCTGTTAAGAGTTCAGTGGGCTGAACTGCAATCCTTCAAGTTCATCTGTTGACTCCAACACAAAACTATTATAAACTGTGCCTCTAAAACACGTGATGAAACATTTCTTGAGAGCTATTTATTCCAACTGCGGCAGAGGAAAGTTTTCAGAACACCCGGCATTTGGTAGAGGAAAGGTCTCTTGAGCTTTGCAAAGGGAGGAATTACTTGCATACCGACGTAAGTTGCTTTTTGATTTTTTTTTTTCCTGCATCATTAAATAAAATAATTATTTTAACTTTCCCCCTGCTATGGAAACATGGCCAAGTAGCACAAAACTATGTTTAAGTGCCTAGCATGTTATTTCTATATAGTTTTCTTTCTTTAGTCATGTGGATTGGGGGTTTTACAATTCAGCATAAAACTCAACTTGATTTGATGTTACGTATTTTCTTTCCTCTAATGTTTTCTGTGTCTGAATAGCAATTCATTTACTTACAATATTAATGTAGACATATAACAGACTGCAAGCTTCAATCAGGTGTGTGTTTTGCAAGCTTATAAATTACAAGTAGCAAGGAATAGTTTGGGGGTATCTTTTTTTCAGCTGTTTCTGTTACATCTTTGATCTGAAGTTTGATCTTACCCATACATACACATTCTTCTCCAGGCTTTAGCTGTGGTAAAACACTTTCCATGCCGAAGATGGACCATGTAAACATGACCCAAGCCATGCTTGATGCTGAATCCCGCAATACAGAGAAGAACAACAGCAACGAGTATTTTTACATTCTGATTGTCATGTCTTTCTACGGGATCTTCCTGATAGGGATAATGCTCGGCTACATGAAATCCAAAAGTAAAGAGAAGAAGTCCAATTTGCTTCTGCTCTACAAAGATGAGGAAAGAGAATGGGGGGAAGCTGCAAAGCCTCTACCAACCATATCGGGGCTGAAATCTGTCCAGATCCCCATGATGCTGAACATGCTGCAGGAGAGCATGGTGCCGTCCCTGTCCTGTGCCATCTGCTCGATGGAAGGCAGCAGTGTAAGCTCCGAGTCCTCCTCCTCCCCAGATGTGCACTTCACCATCCAGGAGGAAGTGCTGGATGCTGAACTAGGGGAAGTGTCAGAAACGCTCCTCAACGAGAGCAGCGAGGGATCTGCGGAAAACATCCATAAGAACTCCTAGCACTTGCAGGGCTCCCTTGATCAGCTGCCAAAGCATGAGTGGAGCTCCCACTAAGAACTTGTGGTTCTTTCCTGCTCTCCAGTGAACTCTGAACAGGTATCTCTGCCCCTGGGCCCGAGGTGTTCCTGAGAGCTGGCAGGACAAGGAAGCAGTGGTACCCAACTCCAAAGTGTAACTTGCACATAATTGGGATGCTTAATTTTAATTTTTCCATTATTTCTTCTTACCGTAAGAGCTAAGAACAAGGAGAAAAAAACATATATATTTATTTTCTAACAAGGTAGCTATTACTGGCATGTCTCTGCATATTTCAGAATTCTGCAGATATCTGGGAAATGTTTAGGGAAGTTACCCTAATGCAAGAGCCTGGTGGTTAAAGACGATGGGTAATGCTCACTCACACAAAACTCTGATAGACTAGAAGTACTTTTACTCTCTTTTTCTTATAACTAACCACAACCAACAGCAGATTTGCTCAATGGGGCCTCAAAACTTGAAAATTTGTCGATGCTGTAGTTGAAAGGAGATTTCAGCATGCCTGGAGACTGACTTTAGGCACAGAAAGAATGAAAGAAAAAGAAAGAAAGAAAGAAAAAAAGGTACCAAATTTCTAGGAGGTTTGTAAAGCCCAGTTTCAGATCCATGCCACTATTATCTACCTTTGCTTAAGTTGTACCTGCACTGACTGGGTGAGGTTCACCAACTTCTGCTGCAATCCAGCTTTTCACTAAGTTACTAGTAGGAAAAGTGGTTTTGGTTTTTGCTTCTGTATTTTTTAAAGATACGTACATTTGATCACTAAAGGCAAAGATCTGTAAGTTATAGAAGACATTAAAAGATCTTTGTTAAAAGGTGTAAGATGTAGAAAGGCTTGAACAAATGCTGCTCTGTTACACCCCTTTGGAAAATAGGTGGAATTCAGAATAGAATTTAACCTAGCAAGGGTGAAATCCTGGCCCCACTGAAGTCATCAGCTGAGTCCTCCTGACTTCAGGGGACATGCACAAGATTTTGTGCTTTTTCGTTGGAGTTAAATTCTCCATCTGAGGTCAGTAAAACTGTACCCATTTATATCATTAAAGAATCTAGGCCTTCTGCTCTCTTAAGTCAGTGTAGATAAACATTGCATTACATTTTATCAGCTTGCATGTGACACATGCATTTCTACAAAGTCATTAGTAACTAGTTTTTAAAACCACCACAAACTCCCCCCCCCCCAATTTAATGGACTACATGAATTTTTAAAAAGTCATTAGTAACTAGTTTTTAAAACCCCCCCAAACCCCCCCCCCCCCCAAGTTAATGGTACTGTGATTTTTTTCAAATGCTCATGAAATTAGTTACTAAATTATTGCACTGTTAAAAGAAGTAAGAATGAATAAAAATAAAAGAATGAATATTTCACTCATACCTTATATTTTATAATAACTTATTACAATGTTTGGATTAGTTCTGAAGCCTGAGGGCTGGAGAGCCTGAATCTAAAGCATAGCACAGCAAAATGTTTGCAAAATGTCTCCGCATATTTCCTGCGCTAAAATAGCTCTGTAATTTATCCACTGGCATTAGAGCTTGAGAGACAGCTTGAAAAATATGAATGCTGAACAGCAGAAATGAACTGAGGCAAGAGCCTGCTGTACTTCTGCCGTTTAGAAGGGAGAGCTCTGCTTTTGGCTTGGAGGGTTAACACCACGTAGCCTGCAGAGGTACCGCTGTCTCCCTGCACCCAGCAGAACAAAGGCTCCATTGTGCTCGGAAAGGGCCTGATTCAGTTCTGACTGAAGGCAGTGGGAGTTTTTCCATTGAGTTCAGTGAACTTTGGATCGGACCATATAAAGCTTTTTGGTAGATTTACTCCAAAAGGGGCTGTTTTAAGTTTGAAAGAAGCCAAATTAAGTTTGGCACTTTGCCTGGAATCACTTGAATCCTGAAACTTTCCAAATGAGACTGACATGCGTGAGTTGTCACATTTTCCATTGCTTTCTCCTTTGTCCTTTTACTTTTGGTATAAATGTATTTGTATCTGTAAAAAACTGATGTATATAATTCATAACGTTGAGTTGTATATAATTGTCTCATGTATTTAAAGTATTGTTTCTACTGGCACTAATTTTTATTTAAATAAAGAAACACGTTTCCTGGAAAAGTTTCCATGTTTGTTCACTACGTCAAATAGATTTCCAGTAACGAGACTGGGCAAAATTTCTACAGGATCCTTTTCTTAGCCTCTTTTTTAAATGGTTCCTTGTGGTTGGCAGTACTGCGGCGTTGCGGGCTGACTGCAGGGCTGAGCCAGGCGTTCCAGATCTGCCTTGGGTCTGTGCTGGCTCTTTGGGGCACTGGGCAACTTTGTCACGCTCAGCCCCTGCCCGTGTGCAGGCAGGGCCACGGGGACACCCAGAGTCCTCCTGCAAAGAGCTGGGGGTGATGGTGAGACGTTGAGGAGGGTGGCAAAACTGGCAAGGTGTTATGAACGTTTTTTTGTCACTTATTCAGCCTCTTGAAAATTCTGTGTTTTGAGTTCCGGTTTTAAATTTGCATTGTAGCAAATTGGGTGGGCTAAGGTTGAGGTTATGGGCAAGTATCTGACACGGGTCTCTGTTCACACTGGATTTCCAGTACTTGGCCATCGTTTGTAGCTAGCTTTGTCAGAAGCTTTGACCCTGGGTCTCGCTGCTGCTCTGTCATTTCCAGCATTGGGGGTAGGGGAGGTTTTGAGATTCTGGCTCCCAATGCAGGGCGGAAGCATTTAGAGGCAACTTTGCACTTCCATATCTCCTTCAAGCTGTGACAGTATGTACAGGGTCACAGGCACTGGCTGAGATGTACTTGCATGGGGTAATTTGAGGTTGTTTCCAAAATCAGGTTGCTATAAAGTTATATCTGCTAGCTTTCCCACAAAACCTGTTCCGCTGTGCTATGCTCTCTTCACTCACTGTCTATTAAATAATTCTAGGGCTTGTTCACAAGCTTCTGTGGACCTAAAGCTGCCCGTTGGTAAGACTGCGTTTCCCTCCGGCAATATAATCTCCCGGGACAACCACAATGTCCTGGAATAGCGGGTCAGTAATGTTGCATCTTCCACATTTAACCGTGCTGCTGTCTCAGTGTTTCAGTGTTTCCATTGCCACAATAATGAATCAAGAGACTTCTGACAGCACTGGTGATAAGAAGGAAAAACAGAACAAAATGTAAATTACAGCTCTGCTTTATGGATCAAAAAGCTAGCTTATTCCAGCGGTTCCTTGCATTAAATTGAGCTGCTATAAAGGGAAACACTGTGTGCTTTGGGGTCTGTTTACACTGAAGTGAGCTAGTAAGCATGAAAATGTGGCTACCTTCTTGCAGACTGTGATGGAACTATCCTTGCCATTGGGGTTTGAGAAAGCATGCGTGATAGTTTGGTATGTATTTGTCTTTGTCCAAATTAGTATTTTGATGGCACAAGGGGAAAAAAAAAGAAGCAAAAATATATTTTAGCTATAACAGTTAATTGGATGTGCAACTGAGTGCAATGATGTCCTGAAGACAACCCAGGGACCCGAGACTACCAGGTAGCTATTATTCCAAAATAAAAGACGTGTTGTAAATCTTGAAAAGCTACAGATGGAAGGAATAAAATTGTCCCTATTAAGCTTGTTTCAAAATCCTTTTGACTAGTAAGGAGCAAAAGTTAATAATGTGTTTGTTTGTTGGTTTTTTTTTTCAAAAATGACAGACATTTCCAGTATGCTTCAGTGACTGAGTTAAATCAGAATCAGAGCTAATAGATCTTGGCTTGAGGGCAATGAAAATTGACTGTAATTTGACTGAAAGGAGATGATTTTATTTTTACAAATGTGTTCTTTCTTAAAAGAATACAGCAATTAGGCTCCCATTTCTTGGCAGTGCTCTTCCTCACACGTTTGCTGGAATAGTTAACGCATATCACCTTTGACAGAACAGGAAAAGATGGCCACATGTGGCATGTGTACATGGCCTGGCTCCAGCACCTACTGTCAATATAAGTGCCAGCTCTCAAGATTACCACATTGGGGTCTGTGATAGTAGCTGGCCGATTTATAATCCTAAAGTCTACCAGTGGATCCCATACAGATGCACCTGTGAGGTTACTCATTCAATGGACCGAACCTGCTGAATAATTGAATTGGAAACACAGAACTCATCTCTTCCCCAGGCACAGGATCTCCCAGGACTGCCATGCTCTGGACCAGGCAAAGAGTTAACCGGAGAGGGAAGCTTAATGAACCTGAGTGAATCCACCTTCCCACAACCAGGGTGCAGGTCACAGATCATGGTAAGTAAGGCCAGGAGCCTCATGTATTACAACTCATTGCAAAACTTTTCTTCTCAGCTTGGTCCTCTCACAGTGGGTTCCCCTGGATCTGTCCCTTTCTCAGGCATGTGCCTACAGCAACCCAATTAATCAAATCAATTCTCACAGGGTTGGAAAGGAAGGAAACAGATAAACTCTAACAGTAATTACTGTTTCTAAGTCCTGAGTGCATGATGTTGGACAAGGATAGGTGTACTGCTCAAGGACAAGGAGCACACAGGTCCCCAATGCAGACTGCACTTTTATCACAGCCATTTCAACCAAGAGAAGATTAAACCACCTGCCTTTAATTTTCAGCTAAAAATTTCAAGACCCTGCAAAGGCAGAAGGAGTCCGTGACGCATGATAGATGAGTATTCTCAGAGATGCTCAAAGGGGAGTGCAGGACAGTATAGTTGGTTGTACCAGATGCAGTTGTGGCAAAGCTGGACCATGCTCTGCTGTCGTTGTCAACCTACCATGCTCACATTATAACATTCTTGGACCTTGTTGTTCTAGTGGGAAGATTACTTCTCCCTGAGTTCACAGTTGCATTTTAGATTTAAAATATGAGGTTTGGATCTAAGAAGCATAAAAGTTAATAAAATTGTTTAAGCTATTGTTTTTTAAGCACTGATCATATTTGCCTCTGTCTATTCAGTTGATTTGCTTTTGTATTTTTTCCATTTTCACATGCCTCTGCAGTTCCTACTGCATACAGCCAAAAGTAGCTGCAAGATGAGCCACCTTCTTACTGTATTGACACTTCTGTATCCATCTCAACTAGGAAAGAAAATGGAAAATAATACAAAATCAATGAGCAGTGGAGTTTTTCAAAGCTTAATTTTATTTTAGTTTGGGTTTGGGTA